CTATCTATCTATCTATCTATCTATCTATCTATCTATCTATCTATCTAATGCATTATATAATATAGTTAACAGAGTTCTAGACCTACCTTAAGCATGAAAACTGGCTAGGTAACTCTGTCCCAGTCCTTCTCTCTCAGCCCAACTTGCCTCATAGACTTGTTGTGGGAAAAATAGGAGGAGGAAGGAGTATTGGACATGTTCATCACCTAGAGTTATTTATAAAAATAATAAAGATGGTGTAAAACATCTAACAAAAAGGCCAATACTATCTCAGATACTCAATTTGTAGCCTTGCCGGCTGCCTCTTAAAAGCTGCCACCAAATTGTAGCATTGAATATGGAAGAATAATTAACTACAGGATTAGTAGTTGTATTGCCAAGTTTTGCTATTTAATTCAAATGGAATTCAATTAATTTCTGCCAAACTTTTTGGGTATATTTCTGGATCCTACTGTATGTGTGACCTATTACATGTTTTCTAGAAACTGGGCATAAGCCAGAAAAGTTATTTCCTTCTGATTTAAAGTATCATTGGGTGCATTAACTCAAAACAAAGAGAATTGAAACAGGGAAGGCTGATCCTTTTGACTCTTATAGATCAGGAGCAATCTTTAAGAAAACAACATTTGGTGGGAATTTAGCAAGCTTCTCTTTTGTAGTACGGAAAGCTGTTTGGCTATTTAAAAAGCAACAACAACCAGCTACTACTCAAACTAATACTAAAATTCATTCTAAAATTGGAAAGGGACTTAGAAATAACTCATAACTCTTTGCTGATAAGGTCTTAGCTGACAATGAAGTGTCCTTAAAAGCAAAAAGATAGGATTTACTTTCAGCATAAACTTAGTATAAGGTGAGTGGTGTGATGGCCTAGAGGTGGAAGCGCTTGCCTCACAATCAGAAGGCTATGAGTTCAATCCTAGGTGAAGGCAGATATTTCTCTTTCTGGGCACAATGAGAATATATCTGCCGAATATAACTCTGCATTGGAGACAGGAAGGGCATCCAGCCAGCAAACACTCAGCTCCATTCAGTTGTCCAGACTCCAACCCGCAAGGGATTATGGGGTCATTAAAGTGAGATGATGATGATGATAAAACTTAGTGTCAGCTTCATTTTGGAATAACACCAACATTTAGATAGAAATTAGCATTTGCTTTCTTGTTCTTTAGATCTTCCACTCTACCACCATTGGAAGCTTCTGCAGATTGCTATATAAAGTGGACAGTAACAATGGAGCAGTGTGCATAATTCCCCTGATAGCACTTGCACACTCTCAATGAACATGGAAGAGTGGAATGCTTATCAGAGTGTAAAATCTTATGGCGTGTTTGGTCTTGTTTGAAAGAAGGCGGATGAGAATGGCAACATCTCTTGAGAAAATGAAGCCTTGATTTTAAAAACAGACTTAAATGGTCTTCCTCCTGTGGTGAGGCTGGCTCCAACCCTGTTGTCCTTCCACGAAAGCCCTTGAAGCATTGTTTTATCAACTGGGCATGGAGATTCCATGGTAGAATGGAACTTGCTAGAAAGTGGTCTTTGTAGCTCAGGGATGAATGGTGGAGTTCTTGATGCTCCCTGAGTCTGATTAATTACTTGCAGATGTTTCATGACCCAATTAGGAAGCATCCTCAGTGCTGAATATGTTACCTAGCTGGGAATGAAACATCTGTACGAAAACAACCAATATCTGAGAACATCAAGGACTCCATGTTCACGTGAAGGGAGGATGGAAGGCTGACTCAACCTTGAGCCTAGTGAGATTCGAACTGCCAAATTGCAAGCAACGAGCAGCAGAAATAGCCTGTAGTACTGCATTCTAACCACTGTGCCACTGTGGCTCTCAATACACTCTCTGTATTTTTAGAATTATTTTAAAATCTTTTAAAGTTGTTTTGGTTGCATTTATAATGGGTTTTTATCTGTTTGGCTTGCTTTATTGCGTACATTGCCCGGTGTTGCTACCTGAGATTGCCTATCTCAGTTATATAAATGCAATAAAACAAACATATTGATTAACCTTTAGTTTCCATATTTACTTCACTTAATTTTGTGAACGTGGTTCTCCAAAGAGGCCTTCTGCCCTGAAATTTGTCCAGATCATCGTGACAAATTAAGAATCTGATGCTTCCCATTAGCTTTCGTAAGGAATAAATGTGAAACGCTACTTTTCAACAGCAGTATAACATATCCCTTGTGTGATGGAGGGGTATAAAATTATATGTAGTGTAGAGAAATGGTAGAACCTATCATTACATGAGGAAAGTAAAAGATAGGCTGTTTAGGATTGATAAAAGAAATACTATTTCATTAAATGCATGGTTCAATAGTAAATTCTGCTACCTGACACAGGGATGGCTATGGATCTGAGGTGGTATTCAGCAGTTCTGGAGAACCGGAAGTGGAAATTTTGAGTAGTTCGGAGAAACAGCAAGTACCACCTTTGACTGGCCCCGCCCCCATTCTATTCTCTGCCTCCCATTGAGTCCCAGCTGATTGGCTGGGTCTTCTTTGGTTGCCCTGCACAGGAGAACGGAGCTGTAAAGCAGGTTAGTGGGGTGGGGAGGGAATGGGGATTTTGCAGTATCCTTCCCCTGCCACGCCCACCAAGCCACGCCCACCAAGCCATTCCATGTCCACCAAGCCACACCCACAGAACCGGTAGTAAAACTTTTTGAATCCCACCACTGCTATGGATGCTTTAGATTAGACAAATTATGGAGGATGAATGAACAATGGTTATCATGATGACAAAGCATTGTATCTTATGTCAAGTACTATATACTAGTTGTAGATAAACACATGTCCAAATTGTGGGGTTCCTCCTTTGGCTAATTTGAAGCACGGTTTACAAACTAGTTAGACATTTACTGTGATCAACAGGTTCTTTTTATGAACTCTGAACTCGAGCAATTGTAATCCTCCTCTTGAGTTACAGCCTTAACTCCAATACAGAAGTGAATGAATAAGTGAGTGAGTACAATTCAGAACATTTAAACATGAAAACAGAGGGTTTTAATGCTCACTGTGGTTTTTTAATGCTCTCTACTGTTTTGATTGTTTCAAAATGTTTTTTCAGATTTTTAATTGTAGATGTTCTGGATCGAAAGCCGCCCAGAGTCATTGCTTGAGATGGGCGGCTACAGAAAGCAATCCCTCCAAGGAATAAATAAAGCATGCCCTTTTAGTGCTTGGACTGATGGGAGGTGATGATTTTTGAGCACGCGGAGAAAACCTAGGCTGATTTCAAGTTGAGATAGGTAACTTCCATAAACTCATACCAGGCTCGGAATTTTAGACTGGGTGGTAGAGAAGGTCAGATATGAAGGCACTCTGGGAGCAATCTCTCATCCAACTATGTCAGGGAAGTTCTCCACATGCCCCAAAATGTTGCTTCGGGCTACCCTTCCCTGGAGACTAGGTGGGAAATGCCTGTCTTTAAACATGTTCCTTGGCTGAAATGGCAAAACTGACTACTTTGATTAAAGAAAAGAACATAAGTACTTTGGTTTCCACATGGAAACCACTTCTAAACTGTGTGCTTGAAGCTGGAAAAGAATGAAACTTTGATTTTGGGTTTTAGATTGATAGATCTTTACAGAAACGGCTTGTTCCCATTAATATGAAAAAGCAAAAAGTTGTGATGGGATTGCAGTGGTGGGATTCAAATTTTTTTTACTACCAGTTCTGTGCGCATGGCTTGGTGGGCATGGTGTGGCTTGGTGGGCGTGGCAGGGGAAGGATATTGTAAAATCTCCATTCCCACTCCACTCCAGGGGAAGGATTGTTGTGGTTAGCTGACAGCAGGTGCAGATGGCTGAGGAGAGCGAGGACTCTGATGGAGGGCCAGGACCACCAGGGAGTGGACTGCTGCCTTCAGAGATTGTGGGGGCTGGCAGCAATGACGAGGACATTCCCAAGGAGCCTGTGCCAAGTGCACATGCACAAAGGATTGCTCGGAGGAAAGAACAATTACAGCAGCACAGGTGACTCGGGAGTAAGGCTGCAAGGTAATGGCCCCTCCTTCAAGAAGATAAAAGCCAGGTTTGGAAAAGCGTTCTTTGCAGACAGCAAAGAAGCTCTGAAGCTCAACTGGTGGACATCTTAGTTCATGTTTGGAGAATTCTGTAAATTAGTTCTTATCTCTGGGTTTTTGGCAGCCTTGACAAACAACTTGGCAAGGCTCTTTTCTTGTCAGAGCTAATTGTTGGAAAGCAGCCTTTTATCTGTAAAGGAACAGAATTGTGATTAAACCTTAAAAGGTGGGGGCCTTTGTCTGTGTTTGCTCTCTGGGAATCCAGTTGGGTCAGAACAAGGATACTGCAAAATCCTCATTCTCTCCCCACCCCACTAACCTGCTTTCCAGCTCTGTTCTCCTGTACAGGGCAACCAAAGAAGACCCAGCCAATCATCTGGGACTCGGAAGGTAGAGAATAGATGGGGGCGGGGCCAGTCAGAGGTGGGATTTGCCTCCCCGCTGCTTTTCTATTTCCTTTTTGTATTTTGTATTTTACAATATTGTTCCTTTCTCTCCGTGCCCCCATTTTCTTTTCCAGATGACTGACTTGCCTCCCTCGTTTTTAACACTGAAGCCAGATTGTTTTAACTAAAGATGGAAACACTGGAGTCAGAACTGACTTGCCCAATTTGCTTAGAGTTGTTCGAAGACCCCCTCCTCCTGCCGTGTGCTCACAGCCTGTGCTTCAGCTGCGCCCACCGCATCCTGGTCTCCAGCTGCTCCTCTGGCGAGAGCCTTGAACCCATCGCCGCCTTCCAGTGTCCCACCTGCCGGCATGTCATCTCCCTTAACCACCGGGGCCTAGAAGGCCTCAAGCGGAATGTGACCTTGCAGAATATCATTGACCGATTCCAGAAGGCCTCTTTGAGTGGGCCCAGTTCCCCCAGCGAGAACTACCGCGAGCGGCCCTATCGCCGCAGCCCGACCATGTCGACGGTAGTGGACCGGATAGCTTGCCAGTTCTGCGAGCAGGACCCTCCCCGCGACGCCATCAAGACCTGCATCACTTGTGAGGTGTCCTACTGTGACCGCTGCCTGCGGGCCACCCACCCCAATAAGAAGCCATTCACCAGCCACCGGTTGGTGGAGCCAGTGCCGGACACTCACTTCCGGGGGCTGATGTGCCTTGAGCACGAGAATGAGAAGGTGAACATGTACTGTGTGGCTGATGACCAGCTCATCTGTGCCTTATGCAAACTGGTGGGGAGGCACCGGGATCACCAAGTGGCGTCCCTGAGTGACCGGTTTGAGAAGCTGAAGGTAAGTTGAGGTGGGCTGGGGAAGCAGGGGTGGGTGCCATGTTTATTTTATTTTATTTAGTTTAGTTTACTTTGTCAAGCATGGATGAGAAAACAAGTATAAGTATGAACATAACATATAAACATATAAATATAAAGTATTTTCACTGTGGGAAAAAGGCGTCATGGTGTTTTGGGTCTATTTTGTGCCAGATTTGGATGGTAATTCCGGGTGCATTTCAAGGTGCTGGTTGTTACCTTTAAAGCCCTTCATGGCTTGGGACCAGGTTATCTGAAGGAACGTCTCTTGCCGGTCACATCTACCAGATCCATCAGAGCGGGAAGGCAAGGAATGCTGCGGGTCCCATCCCTGAGGGAGATACACCTGGTGGGACCCAGAAGAAGGTCCTTCTCCATGGTGGCTCTGTCTCTCTGGAACATCATCCCCACAGAGATTAGAATGGCCCCCTCACTAATACTCTTCCGGAAGGCACTGAAGACCTGATTTTGCCAGCGGGCCTGGGGAACCCAGAGCGGGATTGGTGTCCATTAAATGGCTTGTATAGATATGTGTTGTCGCCAGGATGGTGGTGGTTGGGTTATTATTTTATTTATTTATTTATTTTATTATTATTTTCTTTTATTATTTTTCTTTTGATATGTTTTTGTGTTCGTGTAAGCCGCCTTGAGTCACCATGGGCGAATAGCCTGCAATATAAATTTCCATAAATAAATAATAAATGGATGGATGGATGGATGGATGGATGGATGGATGGAAGGAAGGAAGGAAGGAAGGAAGGAAGGAAGGAAGGAAGGAAGGAGGAGGTTGTTGGGACAGGCCCACCTGACATATCCACCCTTTAAAGCCCATCTTCCTCAAATTTGAGATATATCCTGAATTTGCACCACTTTTGTTGCTGAAGTTTGTTTAAAAAATAAATTTTATTAAATAAACATTAAAGACAATTGAACACAGTGCTACTTTCTTGGCCATCATTTTGGTCATACAAGCTATAGTATAGAGATACATGTAACAGTTAATTTCCTTGTTCCCTTATGTTATTATTATAGTGCTAGCTGCATATTATTTCTATTTACATTTTTATACAATTATATACATATTTACAACCGTCTTTTATGCTCATACATTCCTAGCATCTCGTATACGTCCATTGTATTCCATTCTCTTTGGTTTACAAAACTTTAACTTTCATTCCTATAAAGCAAGGGTGTCCAAACTTTTTGCAAGGAGGGCCAGATTTGGGGAGGTGAAAATGTGTGTGGGCTGACCATTCAGCCTGACATTCACGGGAACTGCTGTGCGGTGAAGGGAAAAACGCCGGCCGGCGGGGATGAATGACAGGCTGAGCTGGCGGGGAGAAGAGGCTGCGGGCTGCTCGAAATTTACTAATGGGCTGCAATTGGCCCCCGGGCCGGACTTTGCATATGCCTGCTATAAAGTGTCAACCCTTTCTTCCTTTCTTTTTCCTTGACTCTAGCTGAGTTTTAATGATGTAAAGTTTGGGTGCCGATTTAGATTAGCTAGAAAGCAGGAAATCATTGGATTTCTTGCTTTCTAGCTAATCTAAAAGCAGAGCTGAACCTTCCTTAGGACTGAAGCTTCTATTTTTCAGTGCAGACTCACCTAGCAGATTTCAGAAAGATAGATCTCTGAATGAATCTGTGATTCTGTGAGCAACTCAATCTGCCTGCCTGCTTTGCATGATTTTGGATAAAAGTTGCTCTTTCTTTTATAAAAAAATCAATATTGACATAAATATTTATAATATTTACACATGAGCCATGCACAATCAGTCACATGGCCACCAAGCCACACCCACAAATTAGGCCACCCCCACAGAACCGGTTGTTAAGAAATTTGAATCCCACCTGTGTCTCAGAGATACGTGAGAATGGAGTTTTGACAGTCAGGATTTGGGAGCCCAGCCTTCTCCCCAAGGTCCTGCCTTGTATAAATGAGAGAGTGGATGTATAAATGAGAGAGTGGTCCTGCCTTGTATAAATGAGAGAGTGGGTGTAAATGACGAGACAAGGTGTCTACTCTGTAGGAGGCATTGGAGCCAACTTGTCCTAGGGAGAACCATTCAATAAGAACTACTTGGTTTTCAGTGGGCTGAAGTCTGCTGCACCTTCAGTGGAACAACTGGATTTTCTTTTTCTCTCCCCACTTCCCCTTCCCTCTCAGCTACCCTAGGCTGTTTGCAAGTCAGATTTCAGCCACACAAGGTAATAAATGTTTTGAGCAGCCTGCCTCAAGCAGAATAGACAACTGATGCCATTTCGGATCGAGAGGACGTTGACAAACTGGTTTTATGCTTTGAGGGAGGTTTGATTTATGGCTGTCAGGGTTGACAGCCACAGCCTTAGTCTGAAATGTGCAGAATTTCTATAGACTCTTTTCTAGCATATTAATTTTCAACGTTGCACCTGCTCCCTTAAGAGCTGTTTATGTGACATGCAAGCTAGCGGAGGCCTTAACTGCCCTTTTTAAATTTTAGGTATAGTTTCTTAGGGGAAGGTACATAGGCGCATGTTCAGAGATGCTGGCCTGTGTAGTAAGGAGAGTGATCCACCAGATCCATGTGTTCATCTATGGCTGAATGAAGTAAATTAGAATATATAGATCCTTTTTTTCTCCTCTAGTTTTAACCAATTGTCAAGGAAGGATACTGTCTCACTTTCCCAGCCCAATCAGACCTACTATCTTAATCCAGAGTTGGCAAGATTTACAGAAGATTGAGACACCTTTTCCATTGAGAACTTTCATGAGGAATTTGTCAATGGTCCAAGTTCCATTGAGGATTTCATTGGGTATTTGTTAGCGGTCCAAATTCCATTGAGGATTTCACTGGGAATTTGTTAGTGGTCCAAATTCCATTGATGATTTCTTTGGGTATTTGTTAGTGGTCCTAATTCCATAGAGAATTTCCTTGGGAATTTGTTAATGGTTCAAATAGTCCATTTGTTCGTGGTTCAAATAGTGGTTAATAGTCCAAATTCCATTGAAGATTTCTTTGGGAGTATATTAATAAGTCCAAATTCCACTGAAGATTTCATTGGGAATGTGTTAATGGTCCGAACGTCTATTTGATTCCATATAGTAAAAATGAAAATTAAAGAGCATTTTTAAAAGTTATTTCAACCTAAGAGCAAAAAATAACCATGTTTGTACTTACAGATGTTTAGAAGACACCTATCCTGGCTTTATGTTGGGATTGCAAATGCCATCATTTTCAGCACAAACTCTGGGGAAATTGGCACTTTCAACACGTTGGAGGAATATCAGATTGAAATAGATGGATTTAGAATCTGCAAGACAAATTTTGCAATTTACTAAGTTAAAGAAAATGGGCTATCTCTGGCCTAGAAGGAGATGTGCCACTCTACTAGAATTTCTAGAAGACTAAAAGGAGAAATCCCAAAGACAAATAGTTGTGATTCTTTCATCTTTGCCAAAATGGTTAAAACTGTCAAGGGAGCCAGATCAAAGCGGAGCTGCCTTTCAGTTTCATTTCCCTCCCCCTCCATTTCAATCAGGGATTTGGAAACTCAAAGCATTTCTAGTTAGCGTCCCAGCCTTTAAGTAGCAAAATGCACTCCCTGCAACATTCATGATGAGGTTTTAAACTAACAGGAACATCATTTTGAAGCATCAAGAAGCATTATGCACAGTGCTGGATTTTCATTTCAGACAGCAAACACGTGCGCATAAAAGAATAATGTTGATCTTTCTGACTACAGCAATGTGTGTCTGTTGGATATTGATGGTACCAGCAGGCTGTTCTGTTGATTTTACACATATCGTTCTAAATATTCCACTCGTGAAAATGGGGTGATATGTTTGGTCTAATGGAAGATACACGATTAATTGGAAAATTAAAAGTCATGCAGCATATATGCAAGGGGTGCGATGGCTCAGCATTTATAGAAGGTTTGTGTTATGGTTAGCCGGCAGCAGGTATGGATGGCTGAGGAGAGCGAGGACTTAGATGAGGGGTCAGGATTGTTAGAGAGTGGACTGTTGCCTTCAGAGATTGTGGGGGATGGCAGCAGCGATGAGGAGGTTCCCGAGGAGCCTGTGCCCAGTGCGCATGCATGCAGGATTGCTCGCAGGCAAGAGCAGCTACAACATCACGAGCAACTCAGGAATAAGGCTGCAAGGTAATGGCTCCTCCTTCAAGCAGATAAAAGCCAGCTGTGAATCGGATGTTCTTTGCAGAAGGCAAAGATGTTTTGAAACTCCAGCCTCGTGGACATTCCGGTATCCTGAGTTTGTATTTAAAGATTCTGGTATTGCAAATTATTTCTTGTCTGTTATCTTTTGGCCGTTTCGCACAGTTTGGCAAGGCTTGTGCTTATCACAGCTAATTATTTTGCAGAAGCATTAAAAGGTTTCTGTTCCTTTTGGAATGTGTTTGATTTGTTGGAAAAGGGCGTGGGTCAGAACAGTTGAGACCCAAGCTCAGTGCAACCGGATGAGCTCCTGTTCCTGCCTCAGCTTCTGCCCACCAGTTCAAAAACATGCAAATGTAAGTAGATAAATAGGTACCACTTCGGTGGGAAGGTAACAGCATTCAGTGCGCCACGGCATATATAGTAATAGTGGCCACATGATTACGGAAAATGTTTTCAGATAACACTGGCTTCCTTGACTAAGAAACAGAGATGAGCACCAGCCCTTAGAGTTGGAAATGACTGGACAGGGAAAACTTTTACCTTTCCTGTCATGCCCTTGTCAGAGTATGAATCCAAGGAGGAAGACGAACAGCTGACAGGGAGTGGGAGTGTGGCTCCGTTGGCTGTGGAGGAGGCTTGGGGAAGGGGAAAGTCCGGCTGGGCAGAGCAGGGAAGAGGTAGAACAAGGGAGAGGGAGTTCAGAGGAAGACCCAGGCCCACCCCCTCTTTATCCTAGGGCACGTAGGGAGGAACGGAGAAGGGAGCAACATGAGTTGCGTGGCTTACGGGGGAGGAAAGGGCCCTGATTCCCTTCATTAGGCACAC